TTTTAGCATGAGAGGAAATGATTTTTGTACGCAGAGTGTGGGTAGTTGAGTGCTCGATTGTTTATTGGGAGCGCGTGTCGTTCAGTCGTTCACATTAGCGGATTTCATTGCTAATTCATGGGCTCAATCCATATGCTGAAGGACTTGCTTATGCATTCAACAATGACAACAACGAATGAAAGAGACATTTCCATAAATTATTGCTCTACCATTATTCTAATTTCATACAAATAATTCTATTTGACCGCTTGGATCAATAAATTAAAATGTCTAAAAATAAATTTTACGAATGAGTTGAATTGAAAATAATGTGAATTATGTGGAATGCACGAAAGTGTTTTTGGTATGTGGCACTGAAATCAAAACATTTGCTCAATTGTCATAGCAAACATAAATACAACACATTTTTTTTTCTGTTTTGTTCCCAACATTTATCTGATATTATAATCGGAATGGTGAACGCGGCGCCGCGCATAAAATTGATATACCACATCAATAAAATGGCGACACGAAATTGTCGAATTTTCCTTCGAATAAACTTTATTGACAAGTGTCAACGACAAACTTGGCGTGAATCATTTTCACATCATTAGTAAACTGTGCAGAAGTGTTGTTGCCATATTTGCAATCACATCTTGTCTGATATCAGTTGTGGTAGCCGAAGAGCTCAAGCATACATAAACTCGAGGTGGTAGCTTTTTCAATTTGAAATTTTCTTCATAAATAGGAAAACTTTCCCATCAAAAAATATGCGCATCGTCGATATGTGTCCGTTTATCTGATAAAAATCGATCCATTTATGGAAAGAAATGATGTAGTTTATTTTGTCAAATCAATCGTAAACTGGATTTTGATGAACAAAGTTACGAAAAAGTTCCACGAGTTACATTTGCGGATCTGGAGAAAATGTTGCATTTTCGAGCGGCGTTCACTTATTTTAGCGGGGAACATTTTCATGTGTGAGAATAGTGAAATTTTTGGTTGAATATTATATTCAATTGTATAATACACATATCGATGATATTGACACTACACTGGATCGTGCGCAACATTCAAATCAATTTCGAAATTAAAGTGCACACAAACAACAAACCCATCCCAATAAATTATTTACACATTACAAACTGAATATTGATTGGCAAATCGCATTTAACATGCTGATATTATTATTATTGCTATTACTAAAGGGATGAGTGACACCAGTCGCAATTCCATTCAAAATATAACATGTAAATAATGAGTTTATTAAACATTTCTAGTGCTTCGCCTTTTTTCCTGGCTGATTCGCGCTTAATGAATTTGAAACTAACTTTCAAAACTAATTCAAACTAAATTATTCGCACCAAATGTGATGTTTTGAATCTCTGTTTTTTTAATGTTCGAATTGTTGAGATGAAACTGTAAATTTAATGGGCAAAACTTTTTGGGATTCATTGGATTGGCTATTCGACTGTGATGTTGGAGCAAGTTTAATGAATGTGCACATTTTGAGGCGAGCTAAGTGTTTTGTAAGGTGTGTGCAACAAGAGCGTTTACGTGAATTGTTGAATATTCTTCAACAAAAAAAAACCGCCCGAACACACACATATGAAACGCTTAGAATGACAGGAGTGGTGATTTTTGCAGCGGCCGTGCATATAGTTCTCGTCAATTTTTGCCGTAAATTACGTCAAACACATAAATTGAGTGCCATATTTTGCATTTTGTTGCATGTCTAGTCTGCGGGTGCTTAAAAGCAAAGTGTGTGTGATGATGGTAATAAAATTATTACGATGTTAATGCAAGCCAGAATAAATCGCAGCATAACATTTTCCATATATCCTTCTCAATTTGCATCATCGTTTACCGAGCCGGGCACGAGTTCGGTGTCTAGTTTTTTTTTCACTCTCTCTCTCTCTCTTGTTCCCTGTTCCATGCTTGTGTAAGGATGTTTATGCGAAAAGAGCTGATAATGCCAATGAGTTTCAACCGTGATTTCATCTCAAAAAGTGATATGAGTAATGACTACAAGCATACATAGTCGTCTGCCGGCTAGTTAGGCAAAATAGGCATAGAACGTAGCTTCCTCTTTGTGTCCTTCATCTTGTGATATTTTACAATCTTTGTTCGTACAAAAAGATTGAGAGAACATCAATTACTGCTCGGTTTATGATGGAGAAACGCGTTCAAATCCATTATTATTTAGTTTGCCTCATCATGGATGGTATCGTATGCCGAGAGCTGAACTGAACATGAAATTCTCGTATGTTTTTTTTTTCGGGTAGATGAAAACACGTATCGATTTTCTACTCACTGAAAGTGATTTATTTTCTTCTTTTTGCTGCTGTTTCTGTTGTTCTTGTTGGCATTCACCGACGAAGAAATCTCTGCTCTCGTGTTCAAACTAATTAAATAGACTTAACCCTATTCCCATTTACGCATTATGCTCTCAATAGACTTGAATTCGTCAAGTACTTTTATTTCGTTTCAAATTTTCAATTGCACTTGAGATTCTTATTTCAAGAGAGACGAGTAGAATAGAATAGAATGAACACAAGAAATGAGATTGGAAAAAAATTGAAACGGTTCTCATTCCATGTTAAACTGTTGAATTAAATTAATGCTTTACACGATTACCGATCCGATAACATAAAATAGGTAATAAATTTCCTATACAAATAAACATAACCGCTTAGAAAATCGCACACGGCCAAAAGTATTTAAAATAATTCAGATGATAAATCATTAAAAAGCGTTATAAATTATTCTGATTTCATTCATGCATAGCCGCCTTATGCCCATCCACCTGCGCTCCATTTCACAGAGGCCCATTCAACTAACATATAAACAGGGGAAATATTGTAATCGGATGAATTGAGCGTTAAGTAGAACTTTCTCGTCGATTTTATGACACTTATAAAAGACATTTTATGACGTTTCGACATTTGGATTATTATTGCAAACAAAATAATGCAAAGTTTTTCTTTTCCTCCCAGACAAAAGGGAAATTATCTTCCACCACTTTTTTTCCTTTTCATTCTTATGATGAGTTTTTGTGCTACCTGTTTTTTTTTGCCGCGTGTTATTCCATTCATGTATGGCAGCAACCAATTCGAATGAGCTAATCCAATGAAAATGTTAATACACCGGAAATGATTTTTCATTCGAAGACTGAATATGCTTAAATGCTAATGACGTTCCGTCAGTTCGATATGCTTGCACTGCCATTTCCTGCTAACGGAAAAATGAGTGGCGGACTTTTTTTTAACAGCAAAAAAATGGCAGCTCACTCTTTTTCGCCTCGAGCGAGACCGATTTCCTTCATTTTATTAGCTAGCCATTTTTTTTTACACCAGAGCTCTCAATTTAATTTCGCATGTGTATTTCGATTTTCATATTTATTCGTTTTGCAAGACTGTGAGGTGATGAAGTGTATCGTATGCGGATCTACGTCGATGTGAGCACCGCCATGAGTCTTGAGTTTGTTTTTTTCTTTTTCTCAAAAACAACACCCATATATTCACAGTCGTTTTTGTAAAATTGCCAAAAAAAAAATTCAAACAAGTATAATATTCGGTGCACACTGCACATCAAAAGGGTCACCGAACTCAAACAAAGTGTTTACCGCTTTCTATACTGTGTCATGCGACATCGGTGGAATCCATCCAATTTTGGGAATAGGGTTTTCGGACAAAGTTGAAAGCAATCGGGAATGACTTCGCAAGGCATCCTCAGTGTGGGTCGATTCATGCTTTTGTTTGTGTTTCAAAGTTATTGCCACACATAACAATTTATATGGGATTGACATAGAAGGGTAGAAAACCAAAATGAAAGGCGTAGAAAAACACTATGTTGCAGTTGATTTCGATTACATCTTCCTTTTTCTCGGAAACTAAAAATTGTCCAAATGATATTTCATGTTTGTTCAAAACAAAAACAGCAATGAACATGTGAATGAGGAAATTTAAATCGGGAATATATTCCCATATTGGTCCATGTTCACGGTTCATTTCAACTTTTATGTATTTTTGTAACCAATTCTTTCCCCGATGCAATTTCAGAATGTCACCTCGAATTGCATGTAACATTTTGGAAGAAATGCATTGACCAAACGGAAAAGTTATATCACTTCGATGAAAATAGAGAAAATTGAAACGGAAAAAGCGAATTATGCGAAAACATGCAACGCCAATTTGTGCAATAAGTTCGTTGATTCCATGTAGCTATATGGATAATGACAATGTTTACCAACACACACATTTCGCTGCTTTTGTCGTGTGCGGCAGATTTTGACTCAATTCAAACAAAATATAATCGCGTAATATTTCAACTAACGTTAGACCACCATCACACTTTGTCGGATACGTATACATTTTTTTTTTAAATTTGTTTCTGCAGACTTTTTTTTCACAAAAGATAATAATTTGGTGTTCAAATATTACATCAATAATACTCACATTTCGAGTTATCATTATAAAATCTTAGCTTTATCAGCCATAAATCTTAGCTTATCACCAAAAAAATTACAGTGAAGCTGATATACACGCTCTGTAAATGGATAGTCATGATGAAATAACAATAATTCCAGATTTTATTCCAAACAACTCTGCCTGCGCCTCAAAAAGCAGAATAAAACAAAACGAAAATTATTCCAAAAAAGTCTAGAAGAAAAAACAACACTCAAAATATTGATTACCGATGTTCAGCCTAATGTTGACAACGATAATAGTGCACTCCTTAATTTCACCATTTCAAGTGTTCTTGACTTTCAATATTGAACACGAATGTCCGCTGCAATGAAAGAATTACATGAATTCAAAATATTCATGCAATTGGAATGTCTATATATTTTGGATACATACATTACACAGACTGGCTATAGCTTTGGTCATTCATGAGAAATTTTCGTGCAGTTTCCATTCAAAAATGCCGAAATCCATTCATTTTTCCCCGTTTTACTATCATGTTGTGTGTATGCTCTTATACATAATCTTCTCTTTTTTTTCTTCTTGTTATTTCAGATTGTTCGTGTGCTGGCAAAATGCCACCCGGCTACATTTTAGATCACTACAATAGTTCGTTACCATTCAATCCGATAGCAACAAATGGTGAACCATTTCCATGGTTTTTACCAAATTTGCCAAATAATGTGCGACCGCTACGATACACGCTAACCATACATCCAAATCTAACAACATTAGATGTTAAAGGTAAACTTCGAATATTGTCCTCCAATAATGGTTTGTGTGTGAAGTTGTTGCAACCGTATTCAGTGTCAATGTTCTTCGGTTGATATCAACGGTTTAATTTAAGAGAAAAAATAAGCGGAACGAAAAACAAAAGGAATATTTATTTTATTTTTTTATTCGGTTCATTCGATGCTTAGGTCAAGTGACGATAGAATTCCATGTGGAGAAAGAGACCAATTTCATTGTTTTGCACTCACAGGAGCTGAACATTACAGAAAAAGTAAGCAAATTTCAATTCGAATCAATTTGCTCAACTCATAAATTACGAATTATTTATGATTGTCGAGCTACTCAATGGCAAACAAATTTATTTCCAATGAAAACTTCGAATGTATAATATTTGTCAATACAATTGAAATATGTAAATTATTATTCGTATTTTTGTTGTTATTGCATGTGTAAATAAATTGTTATTTCGTCAACGTACAGGCAATTGTCGGTCCCAAAGGATTTGCATTAAAAATTCAAAAGGTCTTGGAGTTTCCGCCGCGTCAGCAATTGTACATTGAGTTGAAAGACCGTTTGCGGAAAAAAACGAATTTCACATTAAATTTGCGGTGGTACTCGCGACTAATTCCCGAACCCGAAGGATTTTATGTCGATCAATACGACGGTGGAAATGGTGTAAAGAGGTAAATTTCATTGTAATTTGGATCATGCAGAAAGGAAGAAAACACACAGCCATCAGATTTGATGGTTTTTGATAACGCTGGCAATTTATTTCAACCCCAATTATATCGTTTTCAGATTCTTGGCAGCGACAGTATTTCGACCGGGTGGAGCGCGACAAGCGTTCCCATGCTTCGATGAGCCGCATCTTCGTGCACCATTCCGAATATCCGTATTTCGTGATCGCTTTCACATCGGTCTCTCCAATTCAATTGTGCATGCAACAGATGATGTTGGATTTTACATGGGAACCGGGCTGGTAAGCACCCACTTCATTTTTACCGTTTTTTTCTTCTTTCTGACGCATTCGCGAAACGTGGCACAACAACCGCTGTAAAAGTGAAAAAATAACATAAAGAATTTGAAACAACATCAAAATTAGTTCACTTTACTGGGAATTTAATTGAAATCATGATAAAATGTGCACGTTGCATTTTTTATCAACCTGTAGTATCTTCACAAAAAATGAAGATAGCAATAGAAGCGAAAGAAACAACAACAAAAATCTTTCTACGAACAAAAAAAAAAAATTATGAGAACAACTAAGAGCCAAATACAAAGCATACACTTGACAATTCCCATTCTTTCGTCTCGTTTCCCTTCTGATTGGTGTGCGGCATTTGTGTATGTTATAGGGCTTCGCACCAAGTACTGTGCATGTTGACACTTTTCACACGTACTTTAAATACGAACCAATGCATTTCTCCCTTGCAGCGTAAATAGTCACCTAGAGATGGGTTGCTCTTTTGTTCGCACCACATTGCACATTTCCAGCATATTTTTCTCACACCATTTTCATTTTTTTTCTCTTCGTTCTTTGTTCTACTTCTTTATTTTACTTTCATTTCCTTATTTAAATCATATGTTTTCCTAATTAATTTTCGCCTGTTCACAACAGCCACACCACCCGAAAATATTAAATACAAAGGATCTATGTTAAAAACCATTTTGCATTTCACATTGTATCCTACAATTGTGGCCATTGTTTTCGATTTGTTCGCATTGTTTTGATTGTTTCGCATTTTTCCACCAGATATGAGTACTGCCCGTGTATACATGAGCACACACATACGGGTTCCGGAATTGTATATCACATGTTTACACATAAGGGTCTTTTCGGTTTGCCATTGAATCGCAATTTTTATTGTTCCTTTTATTTTTGTTGAATGAAACAAGACAATTTATTTATTTGTGTGTAATTTGTCTTTTGTTTTAATTTTTTTTTTAAACAACGTTTAGCTACGAGACGACTTCATTGAAACTCCCGCCCTTCCACCGGATGCCGTCGCATGGATTGTAAGCGATTTCCAACGTGAATCACTCGAACCATCTTCAACATATCAAACAACAGCCACAACACTGGCACCAGATCTCCTTGGCCGAACAACGAAGCCATCATCGGATAATTTCACATTCCGATCGGACAAAAGGCCTATCAAAAACATCATCACCACTTCACTCACCAAACAATTACAAATTGTTAAAAATATCAGCGCCAATGCGCTGGCCGACAAATCGCTCAATCGAACAGCTGCTTCAAATGAAACAGACATCATCGATGATACAGAACTTCGAACAGCTCCATCTTACACATTCTATGCACCTCAGAAGATATTGCAACGCTCCAAATTCGTTTTGGATATGTCACGCGATGTGCTCGAGTATCTGCAAGATTGGCTGAACGTTAAATATCCACTCGCCAAATTAGGTACTACCGATTTACGTTTGGGATAAGGTTACGACACTAATGATTTATATTCGATTTTTCAGATTTCGTTGCATTGCCATCGCTTGACCGGGAGATGATAAGTTCACTGGGTTTGATTACGTTACAGACAGCGTTTTTGCAGAATCAAGATGCAATCACAACGGAGCAATATCATTTGTCGGCGATTAAAATATCGGAGGCAATCATAAAGCAGTTCTTCGGTGGAATAACGTCGCCAAAAATATGGAAGCATTCTTGGTTATGGGAGGGTTTGATCAAGTATTTGGGACGGTTAGTCTTAACACCTCTGAAAACCGAGTGGCCAATGGATGAGATGCAATTGATGCACATTGCAACACGCGCCATGGATATTGATGCCATTCAGGGATGGGATAGTATTTTGGCCGGCACTAGTGAGGATGGCAAAAATGATGATTTCTTTATCGACAAATCGGCTGCAGTTATGGCAATGTTGCACGTTTCGATGGGTGACACCAATTTCCGTTCATGTTTAGGATCATTTTTGATCCAGTTTAAATTCCAAACCGCTGAACCGGTGGATTTGTGGAATATATGCTCGAAGAAAGTAAACAACACGAAAAATATCAAAGAAATGATGAATTTATGGACAACTTTGGAGAGTTTTCCACTGTTGACCGTATCTAAAGTTGGATCGACTGTTACAATATCACAAAAGGATTTCCATCCAATGGAGTTCCAGGCCATTTTGGACGATCCATACTTATTGAATTTCACAGCAACGTCAACGTCAAGCACCACAACAACACCGGCTCCAACCAAAAAAAAATCAACCACCAAATGGATTTTCCCCGTCAATTACATCACAAATGTTGCAAACGTTTCCGACCTCCTCTGGTTCCATAATTCTGACGGTATTTGAAGATCAGCTTTAAAATTTTACCATCACAATATTAACGACACGTTTACTCTTTCTATCATATCTCTGCAGTGACATTCACAATTCCGATTGGCGTAAAATGGATCAAAGTCAATTCGGGTCAGACTGGTTACTATCGAGTTCTATATGATGAGGATAATTGGGGCTATATAGTGGAAGAGTTGAAAGTCAATCACGAAACATTCTCACCCATGGTACGAATATACATACGTCAACTGATGACCAACAGCCAAAATGAATCAAAATTTAATTTGTCCTCTTTTCAATCAAAACGTAGGATCGTATCGGCTTGATATCGGATGCGTTTACATTGTGTCATGCCAATTTAATGCCATGCCAAATAACGATGAATTTAGTTTCATATTTGCCGAAAGAACAAAATTGGGGCCCAATGACGACCGGTTTACGTCACTTGGAAAAATGGCGTCGAATTCTTAAATACTCGGAATGTTTTCTGATGCTGACCGAAGTGGTGAAACAAATCTTATCGAAGCCAGTGGCAACAATGGGGTGGAATAACAGCGGCAAAGACGAAGTCAAGTGAGTGGAATAGAAGAAACAAAAGAGAATAACATTCAATTATGTATATAAATATTGCTGGAAAAAAAAATACTTGTAGATTATTGCGACCTGAAGTGTTGCTAGCCGCAGTTCTATGGGAAGACGCTGAGGCAATAAATCAGGCAAAACAGCTGTTGCATAATTTCCTTACCATCGGTTCGGTCATACCGGCCAATTTGAGAGAGGTATGTTTAACTATTGGAAGAAGAAAGGTATGCCAATCGCTAATGACTTGAAAAATTTATAGGTGGTGTACACTGGCGCTGTGCTATCTGGAGGTAAATCTTGAGAACTTAAAGAAAATCTACATTTTATATACACAAATAGCATTATTATTTCAGAGTACACATTTTGGCAATATTGCTGGGAAAGATACATATCGTTACGAGGCTCTCCAGAAGGAACCACAGAACGTTTGCAACTTCTGCGAGCTTTGGGAAAAACCAAAGACGCTTGGTAAATGTCTATTGCATTGGAAAATAATTCCACGAATTTGCAATCAATAATTACCATTAAAATCAAAATGTTTGTTGATAGGTTCCAGAATCGATTGTTGTCGCATGTTATAACGCTGCCACCAACCGAAGTGGTGCAAGTGCTACAAGCTATTGCCGGTACACCAACCGGAGGTGCAATGGCCTGTCGTTTTCTTCAAGCCAAATGGTATGATCTAGAGTCAAAAATGGGAGCCGGAAGCGTAAATTTTGCCAAAGTGATATCAGCAATCACGCAATACGGTGCCACGAAATTCGATTACGACGAAGTATGTACAAACATTTGTTGCTGTTGCTATTTATTAGATAGCCAGAGCTAATTTGTTTTTTTTTTTGGTTTTACACAGTTGAAATCGTTGGTGCACCGATTCGGTGACGGACCCGGAATGCGAACGTTGAACATGACATTGAAAAGTGTTGCTGCTAATGTGGAATGGGTGTCACGTTCTCAAAACGCAATATTCAATTGGGTAGAGAGTCATGAGAATGTAGGTCGACGAAGATAATCAGTTTGAATCAAGAAAGCAAACATCACACATTTGCCCTAAACGACATATTCAACAATTGTTGCACCGCAAACAGTGGCAACAGATATTTCGTAACAGGATAAAACCAAGAATGAACGGTGTTCTTTTTCTCGTTCAATTCCGTTGGAATCGCATTCATGAATAAGTTTGAAATTTAGAGAAACAAAACAGCAAAAAAATTATTTAGTATTAGAAAGACATGGAAAGAGAGAGAATGAAAAAACAGAAAACCATCTCCATTTTACATATAGATGAAGAAGAAACACATACTCTGCAACAACACAACACACTGTCAACACAAACACACACACATACATACCACTCAATCATATTTTTATGTACACAATTCAATTTATGATATGTAATTGTATCACTTATGTGACAGAAGCAATCTCATGAGCACACTGTCGATAGAATATTGCAGAACAAACAACAGCATTCCCCATACACAAATTATATGTATTTTATATTTATGTAGAAAGTGTGTATTATGGTAAGACCATTTCATTTCAAGAGATCTGGTGCCGTTCGATAGGATAAAACATTTTTACAACAACAACAACAGCAATAGTGGAGTGAGTATCCACGTAATCCATCGGAAAGTTGCACACGACACTGAAAGATCTATTGATTTGTCACGGAAACTACCACCCAATGGGATTTATTTTATGTTATTTATTACGTTTATCAACACATTCAGTCATTGACGTAAATACGATTTGTGTATAAAAAAAAAAGAAAAAGTGTATTCTTACAGAAACTTATAGAAACATATTTACGGATGAACAAAAAAGAAATGAAAAGAAAGAAAAAAAAAACAATTTATATGTAATAAGATGCAGTAACAGAGATGAAAATACCTATTTTTATATGAAACTACCAACAAGCTTAATTGAAAAAAAAAACATGAAATACAGCGATTGAAGGAGAGACAGAGAAAGAGAGAAGAAAACGAGAAATAGGTGGCAAACAAAGCGAGTGAAAACTGAATTTTTGAAATCAGTATTCATCAGCAAACATAATCTATTGTCATGCGTTGCAAATATCAAATGAACGAAAATACCAAAAAAAGGAGAACCGTATTAATGGGCTGGCACTAAACAGAAAAAAATTGTGAACACTTTTCTTGTCAAAAGTAACAACTTCCAACTTGAACACTTTTCACAGAGTCTACTTCCATATAGAGAGAATGAGACCCGGTTTTAGTAGATGTTTGATTTTACTGTAAAAAAAGCTCACACTGGCCGGCAGCCGGCAAAAGTCAATTTTTTTTGTATTGAAAACAAGAACATGAATTCATGCAATTTGTAGAAAATTAGCAAATTATTTTCATCGTCATCCTTCTTCTGACTGACATTTTGATTATTTTGTTTCTCTCCTAGATTAGTTTACCGTCCGAAAAATAAATGAAATGAATGAGAACAGAGAACAAAGAAAAAATACGCGCTCCCCCCCATTACATTGCAGCTGAATTAGAATTTAAACATTCGTGATTGTTACGAAAATGATAGTATTGTGAACCATGGATTCATTATTGAATGAGAATCAGTGAGGATTGAGATCAAAAATCGAGAATGAATAGAAATATTGTATAAGCAAAACTTACTGTAGTCACTACAGACTTAAATCTAAATTAATCAATGTAAAATCTAGTGAAAATAATCCAAAATATGGATCAATAGTACATTCTCTGCATTAAAGAACAACTGAACTCGATGCAATGGTGCAAATAACGCTTTAAAATATCCTTTTTACCGTAATTACACAGGCTTTTTGTTGAGTTTTTTTTTATTTGATTTTACGTAATATTCCGTAGAAACGATTTGACTCCGGAATTTGGTCCTGCTATATAGGTCAATCTCAAGAGTTTTTCTGTTATTATACATGGGAAATTATTCGATAAATCGATGCATTTCCAATCACTCCTTATTATACTATGTTTTCTTTTTATCCAATCCATAAGCTACTTCCAACCAGACTATTTCAGACACCAAAGAAACGATTTAAGACTATTTCGACTAAATGCTTTACTAACTATATAAAACTAAGATTTTCTCCGTGCAACCACTTTACCACTTAGAGAGAAACATAAAAAAAAACAAATGGGTTTTCCTCTTTTACTGTTTTAGCCACTCTTTTCTTTCCATCCTTATTATACGAGTAAAATACACCAATGGTGCAACAACCGAGACTAAATGAAAAGACAAAGAAACAAAAAAATAATGATGAATTGATGTAGAAACATTTCTATTGATATACCATAATACAAACACCGATCCTTCGCAAATTCGCACTTGAAATCAGGCAAAGGTGGTGGAAAAAAAAATCATTGGACTAATTTTTTGATAATGACATTTTTTATAGATAGAAACAAAATGTAAAGTCGACCAAAGAAAAAAAGAATTTTTTTGAATCCATCAATCATTTTGAGGTGAAATTTAACAACTTCTTGCAAAGTTCTCAAATCAAAGCGAGTCGCTCTAGATTAACAAAGAAAAAAAAAACTTAAAATTTTAATTGTCATTTGTAGATAGTAAGTTTCGTTTGGATTTATGCTGCTGATTATTTCATTGTTTTCCCATGATATGCAAATGCTGAAGGGTGATCGACTTCCTATCGTCGAAAAATGGAGGCCAAAAAAATGGTTCCATTTCTAAAAGAATTTTTTCTTTCATCAAGAAGAAGGTAGCAGTTGTATATGCACGCGTTTATTTAAAAAAAAAAAAATTAGCAAAAAAAACATGATAAAAACGTCAACATGAGAATAACGAATTAAATTAATGTGGTTTGAATTAGTAAAATTTTGCAAAAGTTAGATTTTTTTGTAAGAAGAAAAAATTGCGTGTAAAATAAATATCGAAAATCGAATATTGGGTTAAGTAATGAAATGGCATTGTACCTATTTGTCTAAAAAAAAAATATTTGTGAAAATCAGAACAAAAAAAGTACGATTTTTTTTTCTCTTGGAATTAAACCCGTCTCTCAGTCATTTTGATAAATGGCGATGAACCATTTCTGCGTGAAACTTCAACGCAACACTGTCTTTAATCTGGAAAACCATGATAAATGTAGACTTTTCAATATTTTATACAAGTCAAATGTGATTTGATGCAATTCACTAACTGCAACCATTTCATTTCAATATACACCTTCTTTTTTTTCAATGAAACAACCAAACAGCATCAATAACAACAACCAAATCAACTGAACGTATAACAACATTTAAAATCAAGTATGAGAGTAATTGAAACGGCACATGGCCCATAACAGGAGCAATGGAAAGTGAACTGAGATGGAAAACTTGATTGATTTGTATTAAAAAAAATGATATCGTTACATAATTATTTACTGCAATTCTTTTCAAACCATAAACAATGTAAACTATTCCTTTGGTTTTGAATTTAATAAATACCATGAGAAAATTCAAAAGCAAAATGCTTGAACTAACAACAAGTTTTTTTCTTCTCCTTCTTCTACTTTGTATGTGTATAAATTGGTGAGATTGTGAGTATGGGTGATTTGGACCCATGAGAATTGACCAAATGACTATGGAAAAATTGGGATGAGAATTTCATCCGCAATTGAGACATGTTGTCCAAATCTATTTTAATGACATGCGTACACACTAACACATAGAGACACTCAAAGAACACGATAACTGGATGAATGGCCAAGCAATCTATGTAAGTACTGCCAAGAATTTGCGTGTTCTTTTCTTTGATGTTGTGATTGTGCCTCGTGTATTTCATACCAATGTACATCGATCAGTCATACATATGAACACACATACATACGTACGTATACTGTCACACACGCACTGGGATTCACCAATGAAATTAGATAATGATAAAATTGGCTATCACCGATCTTGTATCGTTCATAGATTAACAAATATTCCGTTATCTATGTGTGTTACTTGTATTCATGTGTCGTCGATAGTTTGACACATAAAATGTTGCTTCCGTGATCTGATATTTGCAACGATGAAATAATGTTAGCATTGATAGGTTTATAGGGTTTATAAGGTTTAGTTCAAAAGTGAATGGCAACACATCGACCGATTTCAATCATATGACGGCATCAAACACATGTTACTATTGATACTATTACATGTATATTTCATCTTTATCTTTGTTTCATCCACATTTGACACACAATTGGCGATGCCACATACACACACAAAAGCTTGACAACAAATTTGTTGCCATACTCTTGCACCGTATGATTAAATAAAATGAAGAAAAAATAAAATTCCAGCAAATGATTAAGTGAACAATTTTGCTTTCGTAGTGTGAAATACTGAAATACTGTCACACAAAGTGCCTATAACAAATAGTTCGACTGAATAAATTTCGATTGAAAATCGTTTTTATTTTCGTCGTCATTATCAATATTCAAATATGTTATTTTTTTCCCTTTGCTGTATAATTTTATGACCGTTCATGTGACCACGAGTATATGAAATTTTCGACGATCGAACATTTCTTGATCGATCTAGAGAAGGCACTCTTTTCGAATTGTTTGATTGGCATAGAACGGATTTTTTGTGTTTTTCGCATCAAAGACATGATAAAAACGTGAACATAACAACATTGTCGATCGTTTTATCGGTGTGTCTAGTAAATTGACACACAAAAAGAAGTACTTAGTTTCGATCTCTCGGTCGCAGTCCACTGTACAAAACCATTAACAAAATACATACAGCACATCAACCAAATCAACAACGACACCGACGGCGACGGCCAAAGCAACAACAATAACAACGGCAGCAATCATATGGCTACGTTTACATTCACATCTACAACTACAATAACAACATTTTTTTTAGCAAGCAACAGAAAATATATTATCAACCAAGACCAATATACACATATTCATTCGAGGAGTTAACTTGATATGGTATAACACGAGCGCTTGCTTGATACATTATTTAAAATCTGTAATAAGTGATTGGCTGCGTAAAGCTAAAATATTGGTAAATATACATTTAGAATTGTTGTTGGGCGTGTAGAAGAGAAAAAAACTGCGACCGATCGAACAGCACAAGAAAGACGGAAGCGAAACAACTGGCAGACAAAATAATAAGTAGTTATTCATTCAACGGGTAAATTTGAAAGCAAACGACGCACTCAATTGACTAAAGTTGATAGTCGTACAAAATAGTTCTACAAACAAGCCAACGGACAACAATCAATCAAAAAAAAAGTGAGAAAGAAAGAAAACAGAATCACTGCGCTATTCACATTAGCTTTTTATCAGCGTGTAGCGTGTAATCATCTTAAACAATCGGAAGCGCGTTGCTCAGGAAGTGCATCCAGTGGAATTGCGGTGAGTATCCTATACATCCAATGACATGATTTTCGCATGCATTTGCACAACAAAATAGAAGCAAACAACGAATAAACTACGGGAAAAGTGATGACAATGGGCGTCATTGCATCGATCGTGGCTAATCGAAAATAGCTTGATCGCTGTAAAATTAATCAAGTATTCAAATTAATTGGAAAAATAAGTGAACCATTTCTACGGTGTGACTTCTGTCTTTTCTGGTTCCGGTTAAATCAGTGTGAATGTGTAAATGTGTGTGTGTGTGAGTTTTTTTATTTCGACGACACAGTCACCGAGTGTACAGTGTACACTGTGTTTACATAAAAATTAACCACGGTTCCCAATGCAAAACAACAATTTTTTTTCACTCGAACAAACAAAATACAATGAAAATAAACCGAAGAGACAATGTGGAAATAAAATTCGTTCTTTGACACCGTCGACATCAAATCGAGTCTATTTTGAAAGTGAAATGTGCACATTTATAGTTAAATTGATTTGAAGTACCAGTTCAATGCGTGTATGTGATAAAATTGTGTGACCGTTGCCGACGCAACGATTTTTAAATTCATTTTGCGCTTAAAGTGCCTTTTGTTAATGTTGTGAGTGAAACGGTGAAGACAAAAGTCCACACTTTACATCAGCGCACACAATCTCTTAATGAACAATCATCGACAACCAAATGTGTGTATTTGTGAGACTCGGAATATTTCATGTGTTGCTTGTGTTAACACAATGTATGGATACATTTTTTTCTCCACCGTGTAATGATGCATATTTTATTTACAAACACAACAAACTGAATCGTGATTGTGAGATATTCAGATGAATTCAGAATTTGGTGTCTTATTTGCGCTTTATTAGTATGCGTTCGTTCGATCATCCGTCGTGCAATTATATCAGCACATTCTACTCCAAAGGTCTTTCAATAAATTGTTGTTTCTGAGAATCATCGATGAATTCGAAGTGCAGTTGCGCTTTTAGGATTTATAGCCACTACTACCATTCTGTTCAAATGTGATAAGAAACGGAAATAAGAAATGAAACATTGACAACAACAACAAATTCATGGGCAAAGAAAAACAAACGCTGCTGCTAAAATGAAAATTCGTTCGTTGGCATTATCGAACCATTGATAACCATCTTAATGACATATGCTTGATAACACGGAAAAATGATAAAAAAAGCATTCACACGTACCACTAACTCCGCGACCAGTGATAAGGGACATTTGGTGAGAAGCAACGTGTCAATCTGTTGGATTTGAAAATGTGTTTTGTTCTGATACTTTGATTATCGAAATCATGGACGCAATTGATCCGAGTTTTCTGCGGCTCAGAGTATTGAAATAAACTGGCCATTTAATAGTGCGATTCTTGACATTTCGTTGGAAGTGAATGTGATTCTAGCAGAAATGACTTTTGAAAAAGCATAAACACTCTTTCACTTCTTATCAATTATGATCACTCAATCATTTGGTGCAAATGAACTATTACATATGATATATGGCAGCCGGAAACTTTTCATAGCATTCAATAGTGCCAAGAAAAACTACAACTGAAATATAATGACCATATCATAATCAAAGTAATTGATTGTGATTGATGACGCGTATGAACTATTTTTAAAACATTACCTAACGTAATGTTCCTTGTATTTGCATATACAATGACAGTGTCGCCTATACCTATGTGAATTGTATACTAGGATGGGTCAATTGAACGATCTTACAGACATCAAAGGCAGCTAGTATGGGATCGTTAGCTTATGTCTAAAGAAACAACTTTTATTTTATGAGTTTTCTCTACGGGACTCCTCTGGGCTATAAATATCGTTTTTGTAATGGGATTTCATCAATTTTATGCCCGTCAGTTAACTAATTTCGAACAAATATGACTTATTTTGATTGACATTTCAGTACAAAGTGTAGTGTAAGCCTATCATAGTTAACTGAAATCATTTGAAGTTACAAGTCAATCTAAGTTGCTTAATTTGGGACAAAGTGATTTTCTTAGAACAAAAACATAAATTCAATCAACTAAAGTCAACTGAAGTTATAGTCATCGGGTGGAAGCTAAGTTCGAAAACAACGCGAGCGTCCTAAATTCAAATAGGAAAATCAATGTAATTTCGTAATTTTTTTCTGAACTAAACAGCGCGTCAATTTGAATTTTGTAGATGCTTCCATCCTATGGTTATAGTGAGTCAGTCATTTTTTTTTTCACACGGGTACGCTTTCGAAAATTTAAAATTGACTTCAAGTTCGCAATTCATCACCTTTCTAAGGTCAAGTCCCGGAGTGGAAAATGATGAAACACCCAGAACAACAATTTTACGGAGGATCCTGTACTAGACATTGTTGATATCTATGAAGCCATTCAATCGATCCACCCTACTCTATACACAATGTGTATTACACATACGCTAGAGTCTAGTGACTAGACTATGAAAGCTTGAAATGTGTTGGAACATGTTTCACACTTTGTTCAAATTGAACCAAGATGATGATAACAGCTTCGGCATTCTCACAAATTTAATACGCAAAAAATTCTCTTCGGTTATTTGTTGGAATTGAAATATTTGGCCGCTACCGAGCTCCAGCTTTGTTGCGCCTCAAATCTCTGCCATTATCATTAGTTACCGTTCTCAGCATTTCATTAATGTTTGCTTTCGTATGTTTGTGTCTTGTGTACACACCGTAGCTTGAGATAGCTATCATGAACTCCAGAGCCTACAGTTAATAGTACGCAGTCAGCGTCATGTAGCTATGAATTGTTAACTGGATGGAATGAGTTTATGATAATTATAGCTTCAACTGAGATCATTATTCGCTTGGATGAATTATGAAATGATTGCCAAAACTTTGAAAACAGCAATTACGGTATTTGCATTATCTCCTCTAGTTGTTTCGAAGAAAAAAAACAGTTCAACTGAATTGCTTTAAATGTTATTCGAGCACTAGATGAAACCTTATCAAAAACTTCTTTTTTTTTCAAAATGACTGAAATATCAGATATGAACGCAATAAAGAAAAAAAAACAATAGTCGATTCAACTCACACGCATATAATCTTGTTTTGAATACATACAAAAAACGAAGTGTGAAGTTGTAGAGCACCGTCCATAAATGACGGCAAAATTCAGCACTAATTGGTGTGATTTCGCAACATTTCACAATATGTCGAAATCACTTACGGCTATTTACAGCTGATTTTGCCGTCAATTATGGATGGCGCTCTACAATTGTTCAAATTCTGACAATAAGCGGGTGATTCAACTGTGGTATGAAATGTTTTTTTTAATGTGACAACATAATGTTCTAAGTTTCGTGTCTTTTTACGCCTTGGACAAATTCACTGCCAACTATTGTCTATCCAAACAAATTTCTATGCCTATGAAAGATATTCATTCGTTTTTTTTTTTTTAATTTTCTTCCAAACCAAATATACAATTCATTTTGGTGACTTGCCACTTCTGCATTAAACGCTACACATTAAGTTGTGAATTCAAACAAGTTTTATGATTTTATTAAAAAAGAGAGCCAACGATTAGCGGACTTTGAACCATGCAGCATTCAACCTTGATTTCACATAATCTGGTTCTATTGCTCACACTTGTGAACCACACATGCCGATCGCGTGTCGTAGTTTGAGTCGTAGAAAATCTATCGGCTGTCGTTTACCTTCACCTCCGTCTTGCCGCACATTCCGTTGTTCTACCAATTTCACAGCATTCGTGTGACTCCCATTTTGGTAACTGGCAGCAAAAAATGAAATTATTGAAAGCACTGAACTTTATTTAGATACTGAATTTGTCACTTTTCCCATGCCGTCGACATTTCCCGGTGGATTGAAGTTACGGTATGAAAACTCTCTTCTCAAACGAACTCTTTTTTTGCAGATAATTTTCTATTTGGAAGGAGTAAAACTCAAGCGAAATCAAAATGATGGAAATTGACTTGCCGCGTATGCAATCGTTGTCACCACAATTCGATTCGCCATCAATGGACGCAATGCCTGGTATAACAAATCTAACAGATGTATCGTCATCTACAGAACCAGAACCACAACCGCAGCCACAACCATCCAGTTGTTCGATGAAAATAGCGAACAACTGCGACTGGAAATTCGATTCGGAAATCTGTGGATGCAAATACACGAATAAATCCGGTTGCGGGTGCAAATACATCAACAAAGTAAGTGTTACCGTTTCCCATGACGTGTTTCTCAATTAAAAACTGTACAAAAACACACTCGTGATAAAATGTTCGCGACTAAAATACAAATATCAATTACAATTGTCACCGTTTGTGGATTGAATTTATGTTCACCAAAATGTGACGGGAAAAACATCTGTGATAACTCTTTTCTTCTCTAGAGGCTGAAGGTCATCTCCGGTAATTTTTCTCTTTGTTCCTAATTTATAAATAAACATTTTCATACACCATAAAAACAACTTTGGTTGAAATGCATGTATATCTAGGTAATTTGTTTCCAAGAAGAAAAAGATATGAATTCCTACGAATTTAAAATTTGTTGAGCGGGTGCCATAACGGTGGCCTTCATTTTATCATTTTGAATTTAAAATCTCTTTTTGAAATATCTAACGAAAAATATCAAACGAGACTATCCTCTAAACTAGCCGAATTGCTCTGCAGCCAAAAAGAATTTAACCGGTGCAACACAGCTCCAGAAATAAATTAAATGCGTTTTGATGTCAGGGTGTGTTTATTCCGACAAATCTAAAAACGGGTTTGGCATTCAAGTGAAAGTGCGTAACAACGTTCTGGCTAGTTTCCTAAATTTCATTTTGTTTTCTTTCTTGTTTGCTTCTGTTCAACGACGTGCTTAATCGTATAATTAGAAGCAATTTCTCACACTACTGTTCGTTTGTTGTGGTCATTTTTCGTGATTCAGTCGCCGATGTCGCTAAATTGTCGTACAAACGAAAGCCAGAGAAAAAAAAACCGATCCATTTTGCGAAACATTATAAACAAAAACTCATTAACATAAATCATCTCATTCGAATGATCATTCGTTTATGTGTGCAAAAATGTGCGACGACTGCCATAATTCAATTCTTCTTCTTTTTTTTTCGTGAGTGACCTGGAAAGAGTATTCATTTAAGGAGAATTTGTGTCAAGAATCATTGACTAAATATACACTCGAGCTCACACAATCGCCTCACCGCATTGATAGCCGTGGTAAAAACAATCACAAATGAAAAAAAAAATCTCCTATTACGTACAGTGCACAATTAACTAAATGTTACAGAATTCGCATAAAATTTAGTTCAATTGCTGTCACTTTTTTCCATTTTGAAAATCCGTCACAATAAATACTATCCTTTAATGGAAAAACAGAACAAGAAAAATCCCACAAGAATCACACAGGATGTAAATCGTAACATTTCTGAAAGAAAAAGAACCAAATAAATATAATGATGACTCATAGCTTAAAACACAACGACAGCATGACTTTATTCGAGATATAATTTTTTGCACTGCAAATAATGTTCGCCTATAAAAAAAACAAAGATGTGGAATTCTTCTGAAATTGATAGCATTCGAAATGCTTTAGTGTGATAAGGTTGTAATTGTGGTGTAATAAGAAAAAACACTGCAATCGAGAAAAAAACAGCGGCTGGTATTAGTGTTTTGTGCCAGAGTTGCCTGCCTTCGGGCAATTGAAAAAAGGCAAAAAAGTAAACTGTGGCGCGATTCAAATATAGTTTGCTGGCAATGATCGGGAGCTGTCAACGTTTGGTTTACGTTTTTATATGAATGTTGGTAGGCCTTTCCAACAGCAACAGTCGAAACCGCACCAACATTGCCACATCCGCCATGGGAATCACGTGTATGTGATAACTGCATCATACGATGTGCGCTCGTACACAGATACACACAGATACACACACACATACATACACACACACACACGCACACACTAACACATTGACAACGCGCAAAACCGAAGCGAATGACAGTAGCTTCGAACGGCGAGTCAGCGAGAGCGAAACATTCATCGCACAAGGCACACCAATACACTCGCAATCGCAATACGAATCGGAACAAAAGCGTTTACTGTTGCTTCTGACACATCATATCAAATACCAACTTGAATTCATTCGTTTAGTTTGCCCCGATCGCTTCACATGAACTTGTGCACGAATTGTCAAAATCAAATTTCGCTAAGTACGAAACAAACAAAAGTGTGTGTATTTTCGATTTCAGTTTTTTCCTATAAGAACACCAATTATTGAAGACATTTGACATTTGTTGAATTAAATGTGGACTGTTTCACATTGAAGAGCACCCAGAATTGAATCGGCATTTTTGTGTTGAAATTATCGGTAAAGTGGCCAGGTTTTTCTGTGGGTTTCAATTTTGTTTACGGCAAAACACCACGATAAATCAATTTAGTACACATACACTCTCTGTCTTTCATAAAGTTTGCGTGAAGCGACAAACAAGTGACGGGGACCGAGAAGCAAGACAAGAAATTAGTAACAATCATGCTTACGTAAATGAATACACAATTCTAGTTATTTCTACGGCTTATGTTTGTACTGTTGTCGCTTCGTTCGGTGTGCGGTGATTATGAGTAAAACATTTGTGTTTTTGTGCGATATTATTGTCTCACACCATCGATATTAGTGATTAGAGCGGCAAAATACCAGCAAAACAGAACGATTCATGTCAATGTTGGTTTCAATTTGGATTGTTTTTTCTTTCATTCTTCATTGCGTCCAGTGATGAAATAAAAGCGATTTCAGCGTTAAATTGTGTGCGCCAATTGAAAGCGAAATTTAAATTAGAGACTGATTTGAGTGGAAGTGTCGTGTGCAGAATAACACAGAAATAGAAAAGAACATTCATTGCATTGAAACAAAGTCATCTGGTGAAGTGTATTTTTTTTGTGTTGTGTCACTGTTTATGACAGAAGGGAGATCAACTACAAACAAACATCGGTTCATTCATATGTGATAGCCATATGCACACGGGTCGCAGTTGCAACAACGCAACAGCAACGAATTTCTCGCGACGAATGTGACATGCTGGAACTCGGTGCTTCATTATGTCAAAATTGAAAAATCCAAATCGACGCGCCAACAGTTGAACGACCGAGATTGTGTTTTTACATCGATTTGAAAACATACAGAGAAAACATCGAAAATCATAAATACATTTTCGCGTTTCGGTGTGAACAACATAGCAAAAAAAAGAAAGAAAACGATTCGGACGCGAAAAATCAACCCGTATAAAAATAGACGTGCAAATGTTGAGCAAAATTGTGAAATGACATTCAAAAACAAAAATTGATCAACTAAGTTATCTAAGATAAGTTCTCCGAAAAATCTAAACGTTTTTGTTTACTCAAATCGGACTCTTTGTTTTTGACAATTTCTAAATTTTTCGTCTCTCCTAAATGAAAATATAACAACAAAACGGTTGACAATAGAAAGCGTGCGATTGTTTATCGGTGTGCTGTTTACGGTCGCGCACCGACCGATATCAAATGACTTTTAAAATGGAAATTATGTGCATAATTCAGCTGTGATGAATTTGGGCTGCGCACATGAAAATGCGTCGCCCGAAAAAGTGTAAGACTATTTTCGCTAATTTTTCTACTTCAAAATTTTCCGCGTTTCGTATTCAAAACAACTGACAAAAAAAACACTGTTCCTTTGGTTTGTTTATTTGCGGTGGTGCGATCAATGAATTCAAAAACAGAAACACTCACTGAAAGCGAATCGTTCATATTTTTCGAATTTACATGCAAAACAAAAAGACAATCGCACCGATTTTCCCTCTTCGGTTTTACTATTTAGAACGCAAGCGTACTTAATAGAATTAAAATCCTCATTAAGAATGACAATTTACTCATAGTATTTTGAACGCGTTAAATAGTTTCTTCTTCGGTTTTTTTTTTCGTTAATTATTAAATTATATTTTAAAATTCAAAGTGTTTCCAACGTGATACTAATCGTAACGTAATTTTTTATAAGAGTTTTATACGATTTTTGCTAAAACATTTAAAATTTACAATTAAAATAAAACGTTAATCGCCGCGTAAAATATTGAAATAAAAGTAATTCAACCAGAAAATCAAAACCAACGACATAATCTCAATTGATTGTCCATCGATTAAAGAATTTCAAAAGAATAAAAACAGCACATAAAAATACAAGTTCAACATGATTTCATTGAAAAAATCATATGCGCACCATTTGTTGCAATTGGCGTTGACATTAAGCTTGCTGCGAGTCGATCCGGAGAATTACATCGGCTTTGGCTGGGAATCACAGCTCGCGCTGCAGAACGGCGATGGATGGCAATTGGAATTGCGTGCCGCACCATTAACTGATTTTCCATACTCAAATCGAAAAGCGTTGATCCCATTAATTGAAGATTTGGTACGCTTCGATCGACAAACTCAGCATTATTCATCGCATGATGTACACACATATTTGCTAAATGTGCAAAATGAACAGATCTCGTTGTCAAGTGTTCCACATGCGCCAACTTCAACAATCGACACAAACACCTCACTTCCGATGTCAAATCATCAACAACTACCGACACAGGTAACTACTGCCTCTAATTTACCTCATTTTTCATGTGTGCGCAAAACGCTCAACTACATTCTTCCCCCTTTATTTTTCGCCCAACAACACCAAACATATTCAATTCGTTGAATGGACAAACATCTTAAATGACTCGTTCTTTTTTTTCGTTTTCTCTCTCCATTTTGCGCTGCTTCTGCTTCGCTTTGAAAATGTGAATCAAAATGATAGATTTCGAGTGAACTCCAACAATCAGGGAACGCGACTGAATTTAATGTTCCCGTTGCGTCTGATTTGACAGATTTATTTACCATAAACGCGGAACAGTTTGCGGATGGTGTATCGGTGTTCGATCAAAATTTGGCTGATCTCAATGATTACGGTGATGGCAACGATCGAAACGGTGCTCGAAGCAATGATACATGGAATTTTAGCCAAGTGTATGCCGGCCTACCATTGAAAGATGAGCCACCCGAATTGTATGAAGACAATCGATTCGATCCACTTCGACCGTTCAGCGATATTGATGCCGAAATTGGTGCACTATCATCGGCCAGCACAAGCAATGATATCAACTTCAATCGTCGCAACAGTCATTTGTATGGAATGCTACGACACACCGAATCACCAACACTAAATCTAAGCCAAGTCATCGAATGGTCGGATTATTTTTCGAATGCAACGAAAACTGAACCAAATGACGGCAACGACACTGCCATTGAAACAACGACATCGAACCAACAAAATGCATCGGAGAATTTCAAAAATACTCGCGTCAAACTGGAATCAGAAGGTGATGATGACGACAGAGCCTCATCGGACGACTGCAAAAATTCAACCAGCGGTTTCAGCAGTAACGTTGAATTAACCGAAGAGGTAACGTTTCAATGTGCTTGGCTATAAACTTTTTGTTCATTTTAGTTTTGGTTTCATAATAAATAAGAACTGTCTGAAACATAATCGCTCCAAAGTAAACAGATGCAATATTTTCTCTTTAGAAAAAATTTAATCGTTTACTTATTAAAACCGAAAAGAAAAACCTGAATAAACACAGGCATTAGACGAACACACACACACACACACATTGCGAATTTGATCTGCACGAATCTTGAGAGCGTTTTTGATACATTTGGCATTGTGTTTTGCTATCGCTTCGGTGCAAACATTCACCATATATTCATAGCTTCATACCTGTTTCCTACTGAACAATCTAAATTTAGAATAGACGAATCGTCTGAATTTTCCACATAATCTTTCGACCTCCTTTAACACCATGGCATGCATCAGTCAACTGCCATTCTTAATTTTTTTTAGTCTAACCGGCTTCCACTTTTGCTGAATTTCGTGCATTGACGGAAATTAATAGAAATGATACATGTTTACTGATAAGAACAACCGTTAGCGAGTGAAGTCATAATAAAAAAAACCAGCCGGAGAATGTGTTGCAATATTTCAATTTGACAGGCAAATGCGCATTATCAATCTATTGCTTAAAAAGAATTCAATGGAATTCCAAACTCCAGCTTGAAACTGTTAGAATTTCAATTTGAAGGAAAAAAAATGAAGAAAGAAGGCAGCCAGCAGCCAAACTGTATTTACATGATTGCCTAATCGTAAGATGCTTTGAATTATTTTTCACGAATGGCATTTATTGAATCGAGTGTTTCGGCTGACAGACTTGTCTGTTTGCGTTTCGTGACAGTGATACAAATGCGATGTATTTCATGTTTTTTTTTCACGGACACACCTTAATGGCGATATTGACCGTAACCGAAAAAAAGAACACAGTCACTTGATGTAGAATATTGCTCTAGTTCAACCCAAAAGATAAATCGACCACTTGATGAATCACGCATAAGTCTTTGATGGTGATAAAATTAGAAATCATTTCTCCCCGCGAATCACAAACAACTGACCAAGAGAGGAGGAGAGAGAGAGAAAGCAAAAGAAAAGAAAACAAAGTGAAAAACAAACAATACGCCGCCAAAAAATATGGATTGAAAAATTATGAAATTTTACGCATCATTACGCACACGCATTTTTGCGCATTTCATCGTTCCTCACTCATAAATATTTTGTATTTGTTTCAAATCACGCGCATTCAAACCAAATGTATTGCGATTTTATCGCAAGTTCCGTTATTTTTCTTCTATTTTCGTTTATAGTGCTGCGCATTCGATACGTATTTTGTTGTTTTTTTATTGTTAAATAAATCGCAATAATTTTCACAACATATCAACAACAAAAACAGTCCACACAGAAACGATTGGATTGGATTGGATCGGATTGGATTGCACAATAACAAATATGCGGCCGCACACTTCCTCTTTGTCGGCGCACACATTAATGCATGCGCATTGTCTTATGGCGCTTTCTTTTTATGCAATACCATTTAAAGTACGTTGAATTGTTGCCATCGACCGAAATAGCAAACGACTGATCAATCCTCGAAATTAAAATTGATCCATTATAGCTCGTCTACCAACGACAAAAACAGATATTTCCGGCTAGAAAAACCAAGCAAGCACCAACCAACTCTTCCAGATACAGGAAGTGAATCATTTTATTATCAATGCGGAATATATTAAAGTAAACGAATTTCAAATTGAAATAAGGCTAATTCCCATTTCATAGGAGCAAAATTTTCTCAAAATGCACCATTTTCAACAAAAAAGAGCGAAAAAACAAAACATCAAATCAGACGCAAAACAAATTTCGGCTGAATCGAATGAAATTTACTGAGTTCGCATCGCTTAATGGGTTATGACGAATTTCGTTCAGTTTATAATAGCCATAATGAAATCGTTGCTCGAAGTCAATGCACTGGCGATCGATTTATGTTTTTGCTGAACGTGAACAAAAAAAGCCGAACGCTTGCCAAAATTAATGAAACTGCAGCCTCAGCACGTGTGCATCGAACGACAGTAATATAATACGCATTTATACATACATGTATATCTATAAAGTATAATCTAATCTGAAAAAAATTGAAAGTTCGTTTGAAAGGGATACACGTAGTAGATAATGAAAGCATTTGTATTTTAATTGCACCAGACACATCATCGCACACGAGCCACTCGATGTGCATATGAATCAATCATAACAAACTGCAGACACATACTCTCTCTCGCGCGCTCGATATATTCCTCTCTTTCACACTACGGCCGGTCTGGCCAATTTCGAATGGAAAACCAAAAAAACAATCTATCTGTCGGCCAATTTAAATTTAGAATTGTTTATACACATAATGGACGATCTTATTTAGATCGCCAATGTACTAGATTATGACTTGGGTCATATTCATATACATCGCAAGCCAAATAATTTCTACATTTTGTGTACTAGGTCACCTTTCATGTCAGAGAATGCAGCGTAGCGCTTCAAAGTAACCATTTTCAAATGTGAAAATGTAATGTACCACAAAATATATAAAGATTTTTCTACCAGCTTTCACTGTGCGTGAACAATGAAGCGTTCGCAGTGGCTAACAAAAATACGGCTCCAAAAATTGTTACAATTGTAAAAAAAGAGATGTTTACCTGTACGCGTCTCTTTTATTCGATGTTAAATAAAACTTTTTCTCCAGCCTGGCTGTGGAGCTGCAAAGCAAATGTTCATCCATTGTAAATCACATGGAAAACGAATATTTGTCTTGAAAAAGTCGTCATACCAAGACCAATCAACGGAAATACATGGAAAATTAACAGAAAAAAAAACACATTCTTCATTTTGCTGTGCGCACATTGCAGCCAGTCAACTTTGCGTTTTAGTGTCCAAAATTAGTCAGACGTAGTGTATTAAATGGACTTTTTTGGTGTTCATACGAACCTGCTTTCACCTGAGCCATATTTATACCAAATACAGTTTTCAATTGAATTTCACACACACACATACACACACACACACACACACACACAGAGAGAGAGAGAGAGAGAGAGAGAGAGAGAGAGAGAGAGAACAAAAACCATTGCCAACGAAATGCGCTGTATGTGGTTTTTTTAAATGTAGAATTAATGGCGTCAAAAGTCAGAATTATGAACTATTTCAGATTGGTGCAACTTGTGATCTATCTCGTTGAATCATGTATTGCGCGCGATTGAGAGTGAGAGAGAGAAAAGGAGAGACAAGGCACGTAAACGTGACCATGTTCTCATTGCCTTATTTATAGTCGTGTGTCAATAACATTCTGCGTTCACTCACTTTGCATTCAACAGTGGCGTCGTGCATTTATACTACGCTTATATATACGCATATGATTCATCTGTCGATGCACTTATACCGAATGATCAAAATGAATTACATTTCCTATATGGAAATTCGTTCGTTTTGGTGATCTATTATTGTGCTGAGCCCACGGACAAATTAACACAATAACTCAGCTTCTTTTTAGACAACCCCCTCCCTCAACACAAATTTCATTCTTCAACAGATGCTTTCAACAGATTTATTCACACTTTTAATTCACGATCGATTTTTTTTTAACCTCAAAAATGCTTTTTGTGCGTCTTCAGTGCAATCTGCGAACTTTGATATAACTCGTCGCAATTAGATTTATTCATCTAATTGAGTGGCTATTATCATTTTGTTTCTTCATTGTGTGCTTTACACATTTGAATTGTATTAATTCCAAATAAACGATTTTCTCCTTGATTTCTCACTTGATCGGCAAGCTTTGCTCTCTCTCTCTCTCTCTCTCTCTCTCTCTCTCTCTCTCTCTCTCTGTCTCTCTCTCTCTCTCTCTCTCTCTCTCTCTCTCTCTCTCTCTCTCTTTCTTTCTCTTTCGTCAACTGATTTTCGTGTTGAACTTTTGTGTTCATGATGCGTCTGTAAAAGGGAATTTTGTTAACATGCGAACATTTTTAGTAACATATGTGTACATCTTAAAAATTCGATTCAGTTGCAGTACTGCAGCAGCAATACCATTTTGGGAGATTTTTGTTCGTACTTGAACGCACACAAAAAACTACGCTAAATTTTATTCGTGCACAATCGGAATTCAATTAGAAAAAGAGATATCTGTGAATGCAGTCATTATATCCATGGATATAGCAACAAATTGGAACTTGTTTATCGCGATTGTGCATCTTTAATTGCACCATGCGGATCAATCTTATTTGAATGAAAACTACGTAGAAAAAAGTATCGAAAGCAAGAAAGAATAAGAGAGAAGGAAAAAAAGCAGCGTCAATCCTTTCACTGAATGTGACACACGTTGCTGTGCATTCAACAGAATGTCATACTTTAATTGCGACTCTAGTGAATTATTGACCTTGTCCCGGTTCGTAATAGATTCCATAATAGTTCTACAATGCAAACGACGACCCGGCTCTCTCTCTCTCTTTCTTTCTTTTTCAATTGATGCAAGATGTTGCTAATTAAGAATGGCCCATTACTTGTTTGCCAAACAATAAATTAACGTAATCTCCAAGTGGTGATTTGGCCCCATAAATAAATTTCAATAAACTGAGTGTGTGTATTTTTCTTTCGTTCATCTAAACGAATAGTGGCGGCTCGGAAGTAGTCAATTAGTGCACATGCAATGAAGGAGAAAAAGGGAAAAAAACTGCAGTGTGTATATAGAGCGATTTGGTGGCTTATTTTGGCTTCTTCACGCCAAAATAGCGGGATTTCATGCATGCATGTGCTCGATCAGCAGCCGCTTCCAAGAAATCATATACGCATTAACGCCAACAATTCAGTTTCTGTTGCGCACGTGTTTAGATCGATATGAAGAGGGGAGAAAAGCAGCTTCGCGTCACTCACAAGCAAACTTGGATTCGTTTCAAAATCGAGAAGCGAAAAAAAAAACTCGTTCAAAGAATGAATATTATTCACTCCTGATTCAGTTCATCCTTTTTATTTATTTATTCGTTTAA